TGACTTACATCTGCATACTGTAGCTTCAGGAGAAACGAAAGGAAAAGCATAAGGAATGACGTTTCTGGAGACCAGATCTGTGAGTAATACAGGGATATTATTCCCTCGAGACAAGAGCGAGAAATGGAGATTTAACGCTGGTGAAGAGTGTGAGCTAATTAAGAGTTGTGTAGCGTGCAATTGGTTTGGCGATTTCCACAAATTCATTACGCTGCTGCATGACTTCTCTAAAGCATTAGACCATCTGTCCAGGATTTTAAATGGACTTAATGCAAATTTGACCGATTCTTGCATTATTCGCAGTAATTTGCGGTCTATAAATCCAAGGTTTGATCAAACTGATTGCAGAGAATTGAATTGCCAAGTGAGCATCATGTTGGGCCTCATTTAAAACACTACACAAACACATACTTCACCGCAACTTTATTTATTATCTGAAAAAAAAAGCTATTCAAGTTTATAGTGGATTTCTTTATTGTTAATGTAGAGGCAAATAAAACTACATCCATTACTGCCTTCTTATACCCAGTTACTCACTTGTAAACTCGACGAACCGCCTGTTGTGAAGCGCTGCGCTCCTGCACTGCCCTTTAAAATACATCTTGAGATTTGCTCTTGATCGTCACATAAATATCACACAGAAATGCCACGATCATGTTTTCCTGCCACAGTTATTTACAGAGTGAGTTAAATACAAGTATGCATGTGTATATAAGAGCCCTGCTCATATAACATTTGCTTCTGAAGGTTTAAACACCGCCTTGCACTGACTGTTTGTTGAAAGAAAATAAGGCTCTGTTTTATATCCTATGTGTGAAAATGCTAATTATAATCCATTTTATACATATTCTGATTGATTCTGAATTATAATTCACCTTAATCAGCTGTGTTCTTGCACAAAGTTGCATGCAAATACTAGTCAAGGTGATTGTTATATGAAGGTTATATGAAGTCAGTCATGTGCTTTATAGTATAATGCATTACAGCACGTGATTGATGTGTTGTGTTGTCATGTTTTTTAATGCCTTATACTCATTAAAGCCTTGAATATGAAAGTCTTTAGAATGTTTCATTACTGTAGTCTCAATAACGTGTAAAACGCAGTATTAAGTATTATTTATATACCATTAGAGTATTTATTAATATTTAGAAGCTTTTATTATAATATGTTAATTTTTGTTTAATTTTTGATGTGCTTTGTCATTTTTTATTATTTTTTATATATTTCTATTTTCGCTCTCATTTATTTTTCAGTTTTAGTACTTTAGTACTTCAGTATTTTAGTACTTAAACTCATTTTCTTTGTCTAGTCTTCAATTAAGTTATTTTTTTTCCTTTTGAATTTAAGCTTAACTTAAAATTACATTTTTACATTTCTATTTTCAATTTAATTTATTCTTCAATTTTCGTTTTTTTTTTAAGTTTAACTTTTCATGTTTTATTTCATTTTTT